GTAAGTTGTTTTACGAATTTGGAACAGTCGGTTCAGAGTTTAACAATACCTGATGTAAAAAATGTAACTGTATATCATGAGAGGAAATACAGTATAAGTATCCAAATAGGTTGCTAACACTTCAATCCATTCATCATCTGTGATTTCAAGGATTGTAATACGCCATAGGCTTTGATGGCATTTGTGGTTGAGGTTATATTGCCAAGTCAAGGGAAATTAAAATTCCTATGCATTACCACCAATGTCTCTGGTAATTTATTGTACTCATAAATATGGTAGAGATACCTTACACTATATTGTGCCCATTGTTGCTCCTCCAAAACTTTAGAGAATGTACCCAATTGGGGATTGAACCACAAGGCAATTGGGAGAACGAGGTGAAAGAGATCAGTTTGGAGCACAACTTGAAGACATAGACATTGTGATCATATCAGTTCCCTCTGTCTTGGGAAAATTGGCTGTAAAAGTGTTTTATAAGAAGTTAATACCACAAGGTCTGGAGCCAATGAGTAGTGATGAGCCAAATATACCTGGGTTCTGTATGGGGGGACATATCTTTAAAGTCAATTGTGGCCATTTTCAGGGCCAACTTGCAAGCTTTTGTTAAAAAAGGGCATGGTTAGCTGAGTACTTCCCTGGGAGGCATGTTCCAATGAAAAATACATTCAAAAATACGATTTCGCAGGGAGCAGTTTTTTTTTTTTAAATTGGCTTTATTTGGAAACCTTCTGACGATAAGTGAAGGAACATACCAAATTGGGCACATCCCTTCCAGTTGGTGTTGGGGATAGCTGGGAAGATGCGATCTAGCTTAGTCAGGATCCAGTACCATCTAATAAGCACTTTTAACTCCTAAATGCAGGAGACTAGGAATAAAATGTGTCAGGAGAATGATTTTAGCCTACTGGGAGTTAGACAAAGTAAAACTCCCAGTAGTCTCTCCTGTAGTTGTGTATGTAGGGCTAATTTATATGAGAGGGATACAAATGCCCTATGAACCCCGTAAGGGGGCCTGATGTTTTGTATAATGGAGATGAAATTGCTCAACTTTGTATATCTCCAGTAATTAAATGGAAACCTCCCATGTAATTAGTCCAATGGGGTTAACTGTTCATTATGATTTACTACCCACTAAGTTGAACCCTGCCATGGATTTTTCCATGGAGATCAATTGCTTGTGTTTTACATTAAATGTAAATATTCAGGGCAACTACTTTGTAGCAGGACAATATGCCCAGCAGAGATAATCCTCCTGTCTCTATTATATTTAGGAATAAGGGGTATACAGGACGCCATGAATGCGTCCTGGATGGACATTATATTTCCCTGCTATTTAGGTCATGGTTCCTTTAAGGGGATGAGAAAAAAATATAAGTTTTGTAAGTTCTCATCAGGGGTGTGTCTTTTTAGAAGGGAAGCTGCTCTTCCTAGGATTGGTAGTCCTGAAATGGGACCCAGAATCCGGAGTCTCTGAAAGATATTGGGTGAGAAAGAGCCTCCAACTCTGGCTAGAGGCATTGGGGCTTAGTAAAGGTTAACCCACCTGCTGGGAGTGCTCAAAGTGCACAGGAAGGCAGCCTGCCGTGGTCTGTGAGGTGTTTTTTTGGAGCAGGACATTGCTGAATGTAGAGCTGTGGACTGTCTGCTACTGAGAAGCTGCCGGGCATTGGTGTCTGTGTTTGACCCTCTGAGAGCAGGCTGGGATGCTAACCCTAAACGGGACATATGTTATAATGAAGAGGAGTTTTTGTTCATTTGTTTTGTTTCGTGAAGCAAATCTGTTTTTGTTGGAGCATTGTTGAGAGAAATAAAAACTTTTATTTTCCTAACACGGCTGGCCGTCGGTCATAACTGCTCTGAAGATTACAGGGGGTTATTCACTAAGCTGCCGAAGTAGCCGAATGAATAACCAAACTGAAGTGAAGTGAGCTGACGTGGCTACCCCCGCACTGCAAGGGTTCATTGCTCATTTGTGTGTAGGTGCTAAAAAAAATTATATTCACCAGACCATACAAGCCGGTTTGTTCTTTGACCAGTGTCTCGAGCATCTCTTCCCTCTGCTGCAGCGGTCTGAGGATCCTGGTGTCATCAAACTCTATACACTGTGCCTAGACTGTGTATAGACCTGAGGATACCAGGAGCATTCCATCTGTGTAGACAGGCTTCATTGATCACAGAAACAGGGAACTGGTCAGATAGTCTGGTGAGTATAACTTTTTTTTAGCACCTAGACACAAAGAAGCTCTTAACCCTTGCAGTGGGAGGGGGGGTATCTTCTTTAAAGTAGAACTGTGGCAGGCTATTGACAATAACATATTTATGTAGTAAATAAACCTTAAAGTGTTTTTCCACGTTTGCAGTCAAATTTGAGAAAAAAAACCCTAAATATGTTACTTATGTGTTCCTATTCACACAGCATACTAAAAATGACTTTAAAAAAAATTACCTTTTATATATTTTGTTAAAGCCAAGAAAGCTGATTACAGGTTTTTCTTAGCACTTTCACAGTGGTCTGTACTTATAGAAAGACTTAGGATTGAAATGTGTGGGTTGTATTTATCTGTTAAGCTTCATTAACATACAATGAGCAGGCCACCTCAGACCCCTCAGCTCTCACAGCCCCTCCTAACATTTCGAAGAAATAGAAACAAGAAGAAATGTTCACCCTTAAATCCTAACCCAAGTAAAAGTGATTTAAACTGCAAGAAGCATTAAAAAAACATTTTAGCTTATGTTATGCGAATGGGAACATGTAACAAATATAAAATAGGTGTTATCCCGATTTGGCTGCGAAAGTGGAAATACACTTTAAAACAATCGTTCACTGACCCCTGTAGCAAGAGGCACTGTTAAACAATTCATCCTAACTGGAGGATGTGGAAAAGTTATTCAAGTTGGGTTTCAGCACTTTGCACTCTCACCTCGTTCTGTGCACCTGTTTTGTGTCTATGTGACAGATTAAAAGGTGGACAAGCTACCAACTCATTGCTGGCAGGGAGTAACAAAACAATTTCTGAGAGGAAAACAAAAGTTAAAGTGCTGTATGAGAACTTTTAGGATGGATTATATACGATTAGACATGTAACCCCACAAAAAATGTGTTTTTGTTTTGGATAGATTCGGATTTTTATTTCTTTAGTTTTTCTGATTTCTGATCCGTCCAAATTTTCTTTTTGGAAAGATCCACAACAGGAAGTCATGTGATTGTGCCTGTAATTCAACCTCCAACAGCCGAAAAAATCTTATTGGCCAGAGAACACAACAGTCCGTTTTAGTTCTGTTTCAAACGAAATTCGGATGGATCATCAACCAAAGGACCATTTTGGATTCGTTTGCATTTGGACACGTTTGGATGCATCTGAATGTTGGAAGTTAGCGAATTCCGTACAAATATGCATTTAGAACGAAACAAAATTGACATATCTAGTTACGATGATCTATGGTGTCTGAAGTTACAGGATCAGTGGGGGCATGATTTAAAGCATTTTCAATGCTTGTTAAGAATATGTAAATAGCTACAGCCTGGCCATAGTTGTTTTAAAGAGACCCACCTGTTGCTATATAAAAGGTTATGTGGTGGAGGGGGGAAGATATTGGGCCAACACAGAGGGTAATTAGACACACGAAGAAGAGGAGTTTCTGATGTACAAGGAGGGAGGGGCTTTGTTAGAAAACTGACTTTCCCGGAGTAGTCAAATGTGCTATGAAGTTCAAAGGCACATTGCAGGTGAACCACATTTGTTTATGCAAAGGAAACATGCTGCAAGTAAGCATTTAAAATGCTTTCACCTGAAATGTTTTGATGAGAGGGTCTCGTTAAGGTTACAAGCCTTTGAATTAAGTGACGCTCTTCATTTTTTATGTTTTCTTTGAATTAAGTGACGCTCTTGATTTTTTATGTTTTCAGAGCTGAAAGTCCAGTACTAATTATTCCCTTTTTTGTTCATTAATGAGTCACAAACATTGGGAAAAATAACAAGCTTTTGCAGGCTTTCCAAAATACAAAAAGATAAATATGCAGGGGACGTTTCCCTAAACTTGGTGAATGTGGTGAAAATGCACTTTGCATCTAACACCCAATCATGTGCAAGGGACCTCAGTATGGATATACAGTAACATAGACATGGGGAAGAATGGCATGTTAGCTGATGGGACTTCCATGCAAAGATCCTGTCAAAGGATCTGTAAATGGATGATGTGCCTGTGTGGGCAAAGTCACACACAGGCGTGCTGAATTGAAAGGTATACAGCAGCCTGCGGGGAGAAGAACCGCACCATTCAGGTAAGTAGTGGAGAGGGTAAGTGGGAGGCTTGTGACCATGTTTAATGTGATCCCCTAAATATGGTCAGAAAATTAAACTAAAGATGTCCATACACTGGTCGAATTCACACAGTGTGTGGGGCTGTCGGCTGCCTTTCAGCCAGCATTCCTTGATCAGCTGATCGAAGGAGCCTGCTGGAAAATCTTTGTACGATTTGAGCCGGCAACCAATGAGCTGTCCTCTGTGATCGGGTATTCTGACAGGTGTCGGCGGGTTTCCCAAACAAGTTTCAAGAGAGATTGCTTTTACAGTACAGTTTTCTATTTTCCATTTTATTCTGTGCTTTTTGAAAAACTGTGCAGTTCAATTGCAGTATTATTGGTTTGCAATACAATTTTGGTTTAGGTAGTTCTAGTTAATCTTTCTTTTCATGTGACCTAAAACAAAACCAAAAAAATATGCTCAACATCTAGTATACACATGTACAGTATTACTATTGCTAAGGGTTTCATGAATTTGCATAAATATGCAAGTAATGTTAATGCTGTGTTTATTTGCAATCTTTCTGTGTTCTGCATGTCTGCTAAAGGACCACCTAAAAAGGAAATAAAAAGAGCAGATTTAAATGTTAATTATTATTTAAGTCACTCTGGGTTCTTCTGCTGCATTGTGGAGTTGATTTCCCTTTTGTATTAATCGTTAGGAGTCAAAACATATTTTTTTCCTTTTCCTTCTTAGGCTGACCGTCCAAGCTGAATGCCCTATGCATCTGGAAGATTTTCCTATGGATGCTCATGCCTGTCCATTAAAATTTGGCAGCTGTAAGTATTTGCCTGTCTTTGTCTGAAGGTCATTTGTTAATTAGAATGTACTGACTTGTTTTGTGTCATTATTACATTTATTGTTTCACAATTATAGCTCGCTACTGCATAAAATAGAATAGAGCTCTACACAAATCTGAAATCATAGGTTCAGGTATAAATATATATAGTAACCAAAAAAGCATTTAATTATGTTTAACTTTATTTTTAAAGCCATTATAATCTGCACATCAGCTCTTACGAATCAAATCATATTTATTGTGGCACTGCCTAAACTGAAAAAATAAATTAAAAAGTAGGCTGTTGTCCTAGATTGTTCACTTCTCCAGCCTTTTCCAAACTCTTCACCCTTTTGTGAATAACCCTGTAACTGTTCAGTCACCTGTGTAGAGAGCTCTTTCTTGTAAACCTACAGAAATGTTTTGCCTGACCCATCCAGCACTACTTGTCATTTCATTGAGTTTAAAATCCTGTGTGTATGTGTATGCAGTATATACTCCATATCAGTGCGCTGTTGAAGTAAACATAAACAGAATGCTTCTACGGGGATGTCACAAATGATATCACAGCATTTCCTGTTTACAGAGGCCAGGACAGACCTGTTACAGGTCTGTCCATTGCCTCCCTGCAGTAGCAGATCACTGCTGTAGTGATTTACTGCTGGCTGATTGTAGCCAGCAATACATCAGTATTAGAAGTTATTTTTGTCTGCACAACTGGATGGGTGGTCTGAAACAGGGCACACCATTAAAAAAAAGGTTTAATTACAAAATTGTTAAATAAAAAAGAAAATAAATAAAAATAAATTATACAGTATATACATAAAGATAAATATTAATGTACTGTATATCCTAAACATTCCATCCTCAGACTAATCCCCAGGTCACACCAATGATGCCAGATGAGCAGGTTGATATTGGCTTTCACTGAACAAGCATCAAATGCTCACTTAATTGAACTCAATGTCAATCGAATTTTTAGCGATCGCACACCTGGCGCCGTGAGTCGCCATCATACTCATTTGTGCACTTTTCAACCTGACTTAATCTTATCTTAATGTTATGCTAACAATTTATGCAAAAATCTTTTCCCTTTGCGTGTGTCGTAATGTTGCATTAAAAGGGGAATAAAGCTCTCCTAAAGTAAACCGCATACTTTTTACTTTGAGCTTTACCATTCCGCTACATTGCATGAAAGTCACCCACTAAAACAAGGAAATAAAAATAAATGTATCCGAATTTGCTAAAAATGTAAAGCCTTATCTGTTTCAAGAAAAGCGTTGTATAATACTGTACGTTAGGGTAGACTATAAAACCTAAACTATGTAATGCGTGGAACCGAGACAATGCCAAAAAGGAAATAAATGTTCTGGGACTCAAGGGCATGTATGAAGAAAGGGCCTGGGGTCTCCCGTGGTTGTGGTCAATATAAAAGAAAATCCAACCATATTAGTTTTGAATTTTACCTTATCATGGAGACATGAAACTTTTGGGGGGAAGGGAGGACAGATTTAGTGCTCCGTCAGTACTCTTTTTCTTTTTCTGGTTGTGTCTTTTTGCAGCTTTATCGCTACATGTACTGCAAGATGTACAGAAAGTTCACTTTCATGGTTATTTGTCCTGATTACATGTGTTATCTGTACTCTTCAAAGCAATGAATGTCACTTTTTAAATCCCGGTCTGGCCCTGCTGATGCAGCACACTTGGCTTATGGAATTATCTGAAGAAACATACAGTGTTTGCAACATGGGTGTTCCATAAAAAAGTGCATTTGCTTTACTGTGGGAATTCTCTGATAAAGCACACAGAGTTTGCTTCAAGCATTGTAGAAATAAGAACATTGCAGTGTTATGGGAGTTCCTTAAGCACACTTGCTGTACTATAGGAATTTTCTGACAAAGCACATTAGCTGTACTGTACTTATTCCCTGACAAAGCACATTAGCTGCATTTTAGGTACTCTCTGACAAAGCGCCTTCGCCACAATGCTAAAAATGCCTCAGCGGTAGACTTGGTTATGTGACATTGGGTGCTAGTTTTATTGTGGGAATCACCTGACATTTCTTCTCTGGGGCCATATTCATAAAAGAATTTCAGACAGATTTGATTAGTCTGGTTTGATCAGCCAATTTTACAGCTATTCATGAAGCTTTACAGTGTCAGAGCTAAAGAAGATCAGTTGGCAGACAGAGGTGAATGAAAATATTGCCCCCCAGCCTCTCCAATAGCATCTCCAACCTGAGTCTATAAACTGTGTCAGTTAATAAATAATTAAATGTCATAAGTACGTGTGATACGCACCTATTAAGACATGAATAAATAATTTCTTATATAATTTTAATACACATTTTTAATTCATTTTCTTTCCTGTTTTGAAGTAAAACAAGCGAAGGAATGACTGCTCAATGAACTTTAAAGGCAGAATTAAAAAAATGGTTGTGTGCGTTGAAAATAAAAGCACAAATATGCAGATTTTTATTTGCACACCTTTGTTCTCTTCTACATTGTACTGCTCAGCACACTGGTGTCCCTACAATGTCCTTATCCCTGGCTATGATCTGATCCCTTCGGCAGAAATTCGGCATCCGAATTTCTGTATTCTATCGCCAATGAATCCAAATACTTGTTTAACCAAAATTTGGATCCGTCCGAATTTCATTCAAGACCAAACTAATTTGGACATATGATTGTCCTCTGGACAACTAGTTTTTTTTGGCTGTTGGGGGTTACAACACAAAATGAAAATACGAATATACGAAAATGAAAATTCGGACGGATTCAAAATCCGAACAACAAACCGAATCAAATTTCAGATGCTAAATTATAAAAACGAAAGAAATAAAAATCTGAATGGACCGAAATTAAACAAATTTTTTGCGGGGTTACAGGTCTAATATCTGTATATAAACCATGAAAACTGCCTTATTTGGATGTTTACATTGCATGGCAAATGGAGGACTGCAACATACAGTATGAAGTGTACACTTTACAAGTTAAGGGATAAGTTAGGAATCGCATTTGCTAGATGCACGAACAGCCACAGTCTCACAAACTCACAACACTAGCGTACCTATGGTCTTTCAATAAAATTATTTTTTACGTTTACTTTTAGAAAATTGGTGTTTGCTTTGGAAATCAACTCTGTTGTGTGTACTTTTGCCACTAGATTTTTTGTAGGTCATGTCTAAATAGCTAGAGCTGTAGCTATAGTAGTTTTGGATCAGTTTATTTAATTTTTTTGTAATTTGTTTGTTGTGATTAACTATGAGCTTTTGGGTTCTGGTTGAACATGAATTCGACCTTAACCCCGCAAGTTCCTGACACATGAATCTCTAATCACACCTGAAATATACTGTAGGTGTGAATGGGGCCTAATATACACATACACTAAAGGTGTCCATACACCTGCCGATTATCGTACGATAATGTCGGGTGATCCTGCGATCGTACGATAATCGGCAGGTGTATGGCCAGCGTGTGACCGCTTCTACGGTAAGGTCGCACGACTTTCGTCTTCCAAGCACGCTGGAAAACCTGACGAAAATCGTACGATTTTTGGCGGGTTGGTGGCGTGGTCGGAAGACGAATGCCGCAAGTGCACACTGCCCACTCAGCACTGCAATCATCGGAAGCCCGCCCCTCAGCAGGGAGGGCTTGCGATGATCGCAAGTACGATCTGCCTGTCCAAGATGGGCAGATCGTACGAGATTTTAATTACCTTACAACCATCGCATAGCGAAAGTCGTGCGATGGTTGTAAGGTGTATGGGCAGCTTAAAACACAATAATACACTTCTCAACGTTACACCACTACCCCCCGCACACAAAAAATAATACACTCCTCCCATTATAAGCCCTCCAGACACATAAAATAATATACTCCCCCCTTATTAACACCCCCACACACAATATCATATACTCCCCCCTTATAATTCCCCCCGCACACAAAAAATAATACACTCCCCCCGTTATAAGCCCCCACACACAGATAAAATAATATACTCCCCCTTATTAACACCCCCACACACATAAAATAATATTTGCCTGACATGTCTGCGGGTCACATAGTACCGGCTCGCGGGCCGGAGTTGGCCTGCGGACCGGTACTTGGGAGACCCAAATTTCCACTCACCCTCACTTTATTTTTACTCGCCAAATGCGAGCAGGCGAGTGGAAATTTTGAGCCCTGATATACTGTATATTTTATACAAACATCTATTACACGAGCACTATAGGATAGCTAAAAAGATAGCAGAGCTGCTTGCTTTGAGTCACAGCTTGTCTGATTGAAATTTCGGACAGACATCTAATAGAGCAGGGGTGGGAAACTTCAGTCCTCCTGCTCTGCTTTAACTACAAATTCCAACATGCCTCTGCCTCTGGGAGTTATGCTTGCAACTGCCAGTCTTGCAATGCCTCATGGGACTTGTAATTCCACAACAGCTGGAGGGCCAGAGTTGCCCATCCCTGTAATAGAGGATGGCCAACTGCTGATGATTCAGTGAGCTGTGTAAACAAGAGGTTTCTTTTAAAATGTTAAAAGGAACTTAAAGTGCCACTACTACAGGCACAACAGCATGAGGAAATTAGCAATATGCAATACCGTACATTTGTCTGATTTAAATAAATAGAGAAATACATTTTGTACAGAGCCATAATACAAATCTTTTAAGTTGTACTATACTCTTTTTCGTAAAACTGTTTTGTAGCTAAAATATGACATTAGATCTACACATTTCCTTAGCTGCTTCCATAACAAAAGCAACATCTACATGCCATAAATATACATCCTATGTCCAAGAAATGGGTCGCACGCAGTGTGTTGAGGTAGCAGCCAGCCAGACTCTGTGAAATCCCACTCTGGGATATATGTAAGTATTCATGGGAGACACATGCTCTTTTTGTAATAGTAATATTTTGACACAGCACAGGAAAATGCTTATAAGCACGCCTGAATAGCACAAAATGATGATGCTTTCTTTGATTGCTGTTTGCATATGTAA